CATGAGTAATTACAAAAACAGTCCCCATGTCTCTCTTTTATTAACACCTCTCAAATATTTGTGCAGAGATTTCATATCCTTCTTTAATCACCTCTGATCCAGTTTATCCAAATTTAGTTCAATCAATCTTTCATTATAAGTAATATTCTCCTGACCTTAGCTACCCTGCTTTGAACTTTCTCAGTATCTCAGCAGTGATTTTTTATGATGACAGCTCTCATCAGCCCCACACACAATATTCTGAGGGCACCTTGTACCATTGGGAATGAACAACTAGATAGAAGAAATAGCCTGAACACCACGAATGTATCTGTAACTGAAAAGGTGCTGGTTTATACCCTTTCCTCCCTTACTTGTTTTCATTCTGCTGGACTCTTTTTATAAGGTCTAAATGGAGGCAAGACTGCAAATTAAAATAAAATATTCAAACCTGGCTTCTGTTGAGTGAAGTTTTCATTCCTCCTAGGCCTGTTCATTTATGCTGTGATTTCAGGGATTCAACACTGTGGACCAGAGAGGGCTGCACACTAAATTAAAAACTCTGCTGTTTAAACCTGTGCTCTTCCAACTGAAAGTTAAAGCAGGTATAGGGAAAAAACCCCACAATTATTCACTCTCCAAATAAATATCCACATTCTATTAGGAGAGACATCAGTTTTCTGAGTCTGCTGGCTCCTTCATCCATCTCAGCTGTACCTCCTTGAGTCTTGGCTTGGTACCAAATGCCCACATCCAAGACAGCAGTGCTTAGAAGCTGTTCTTTTTCAGCCAGACTAAGGGCTGGTGCTCCACTAATCCCATGTGCTTCCCAGTGCAGTAGGGCTTTGCTATAATTTGCCTTATTCATGTAACTATATTTCAGGTATGTGTAGGAGTGACATTATTTAAGTTCATGTGAAATGTAAATAAGTCAGACACAGCTGAAAATGTATTTCCTCTGCCATCCCTGTATTGTAGAACACAGTGTCACTTCATATTACTTTTCATTATGATAATCTTACTTTAAAGCTGACAGTCATGATTTAATATCCTTGAAAAAGCTTAAAAGTGAGAAGTGTACTCCAGCTACTTTTAGCAGTCTTAAGGAACCCCCTTTCCCAGCTTTTGGATTGTCATCATTTGGATTATGAGAGAATCCATACAACTTGTGTACCTTTATAAATAAAACACACTAGGCAGGGAGCCTGGCATCAGTTACTGAGATGGAACCATAATGATATAAGGAATATATTTCAGCCCACCATGAGTTCTGTTACTAATTTGATGCCATCACATTGTAAGTTTTGTCTCTCATAGAAAAATCTGAAACTGTATCTTTGTCATGTATGAATTATATCCACCCTCTATTCAACAAACCAGTGGTCATAAGAAAATTCACCTACAAAAAGTGAAAAATATGCAGAACAAGACATCAAAACAAGCATTTACCCTAAGCCACATTCAGAGCACTGAGTGTAAAATAACTTCCGAATTACCTCCTTTTATGTGTCCATAACTCTTACAGAAGAACTTGCAGACTAGAACTGCAGCAATATATGCATTTTTCATCTCAGGTAATGGAAAATTATTGTTTTATGGGTCACTCACCAACACTTGTTTCTCTGTGCCCAGCATTATAGAATTGTTTCAGTGAGGATGCAGAGTAATGTGAGTTCCAGCTGAGAGTGATTCACACAAGGGCCACATCCTGCTCCTCCAAACCAGAGAATAAGCAACTGCTTCCCTCACATTTCCCCTCAGGTGTGACAACCCTTCCTTAGCACAAAGCCACGTCCTACCCCTTTGCTGTCTCTTTTTGTTCTGAGGATGACAGAGGCAGAGGAATCAGGAGGCATGGGTTGGGTAATTCCTCATGGATCCCTCTCCACATGACATTAAAACCAAGCAGGAAGGTGAGACAATCCTTACTCTGAGCCACGAGATTAAAAAAATTACAGACAGTACTGCCCTGGTGTTGGCAGCTGCACAGATCTTCATTTATTCTTGGTTTCTAAGAAAGATAATAAAAGGCCAGTCATCTAGAAAAACAGTAAATAGATCAGCTCTCAAGAGTTATTCCTTTTGATAACACCTGATACACTCCTATGAACGACAGAAAATATTTACATTCTGAAGTGGATCACTCTCACACAGCCCATTTCTTAAAATGCTGATTCCACTTAGGGGAAGACACAATACCTGTGATCAGAAACAATTCTGTTTCTAATTAACTGAAAAAGCTTTCAACTTATCAGGGCGTTAATGAAATGTAACCCCAGAGAAAATGCAGCTATACACATCCACATTCCCTCTCACACCCCCAAAATATCCCAAACAACCCTCAAACCCAAAAATATTTATCACATTTGGAGGATCATCTTCAGGTTTGCTTTGTTTGGAGTGAAACACTACTATACCTGCTCTGTTTTAATTTGTACACTGTCACAACAGTATCCAAACACCTTCCCACATGAAAACCTCCCCTGAGGGTCCTGAGGACTACAAGATAATGTGTTTTCCTGGCTTAGTTACTGAGAATTGTGATGGTTCACATTACAAAGGTTGGACAAATATGAAGAAACCAACATCTGCACGCTTCGTGTTTGCTTTGGACATTTTGGTTTATAAGAATCTTTTTCACCCTGTATATGTGGCTGCAGTTTCTACATAACTACCTGCATCTGGTTTGGTTAATGATTAAAATGTTATGTATATTTCTATTTTATATACCCTAAACAAACAAATGTGTGCAGTTTGGTGAGAGCAGGATGGTGATTCCACTACAGACAAAGGGCACTACACAGAGGTGGCAAAGAAACAGGGAACAGCCTCAGCACAGAAACTCAGCCACTTGTAGTGAAAAGAACATAATTGATGTCCTCCACAGATCTAGAAAAATGGGGGATCTGAAATCATTTATTCACTCAGAAGCAGCTCCATAAGATGAAGCCACTTAGGGGCTGTGGCCACAGTTGAATTCTTTGTCAATAAATTCCCCTTAGACACTAACATGTCATTTTCATGGTAACTGAACTGCTCTGCAAGGGAATATTTGTAGCTGGAAATGAAGGGAGGAGGGAGGAATTAAGGCCAGTGAAACAGGAGAAAAACCCTGATTTTCAGGTTCACCAAGAAGCTTTGGAGCTCTCTCTGCTTTCATGATAACAGGAATCACTTTCCTAGGTGAGGAATAGTTATTTCCTTGGATTGAGCATTAGGGGTTAATGCAATACAAACAAGAAAACTAAGTAAAATGAAGTATTTTTTTAACATTTGGAATATTTCTTTCAGGCCATTTTTCTGTGAAAGAAAATCTGTGTAGGTGGAGAATGCACTTAGCTCCTTCAGGAAAGATGATGTGCTCCCATGCTAAGGCACTAACTTCCCCTAGCAGAAACTCAGAAAAACCCTACAGTCAATTCCCCTCTAATTAAGACAGCTCTCACAAGTCACTACTGTATACAATAATTTGTAATATTAAAGAAACCAAGCAGTGTATTTAGATACTTGATGGCCAGAAGTCTGTTCAGAGTTATATTTCCACTTGATTGTGACAAATGAGCCACAGGAGCTAAGGGCCTTCAGTAATAAACACTCTCTTCACACACTTATTTTTGGAACAAACTGCTCTTTTTTTCCTTTGTACTGTGCTAGAATTTTTCTCTGTAAAACTCTGTTTTACATGCAGGGTAAAAATAAAAGGCTGAATCACATTCCAGAGATCCCTTTCACATTTAGGATGGCTGTTCTTCAACCAGAAAAACCCACTTTGGGCTAATCCATTAATATTTACTGATGCAGACTATTTACATAAAGTCCCATCAAGTTAGGGCATTTCTAGGAACGGGAAATAATTTTCCATGCAATTTCATCAGAAAGATTTCAAGAAATTCCAGCTTTTAAAGATTACAGGAGTACTGTGTTTAATGTTGGTGAGAAAACTTAGTTCAATTAATCTACCAAAATCATCCTTTAATAATTTCTCTGAGCATTTATTTTATAGTTTTGTTACTCTGCATAAGGGCAAGAATTTTTACTACTGTTTTACTGCTTTACAGCTGTATAAATTCAGGCATTTGTTTGTAAGTTGTAAAAGGAGTTTTAGTTTTGTTCTCCTTAGGAGATCACAGCTGCTTCACTCACAGCGATTAAAAAGGATTTCTAGTAACAAGTGACAGAATATTATTATATTATTATAATCATAATATTAGAAATATTATCAAATCACCTTAAAACTTGTGTTTTAGACATAACTAAATGAATTTTCTGTATGGACAACCGCTGTACAGAAAACAAGAGGGAATGGATTTATTGGCACTTCTTGGAGATGACTTTCAAGACTACAAAAACCACAGAGAAATAAAATCACCCTAAATGCATGCTAATAAAACTTCACACCAACACTCACAATTGATGCTCTTTCTCTCCCCACATTGATCCAACCAATCAAGAAAGAAAAAGAACTTTGAATGAAAACACAAAATACATTCACTGAAATTCCCAAGCTGACCTGTACTTCAGCTGGGAATGTTATAGACTCATATTGAACAACACATTGTGCTCCTCACACCCCTCAGGCCAAGCCCTGCAGTCCCTCACCAGTTCTGTCACACAGCTCCTCCTCTGCCTTCAGCTGCTCCAGAAACTTCTGCAACATTGCCATCTCACCCCCATTACCATTAATCCCTATTTTTCCTGGTTTTGCCCAGGATCAGACTCAGGAACACGAGTGAGACCCGAGTTACACCTGGGTGATGGAGGCAGGGGATGCTCACCTCTGCATATATAAATAAACATAACCAGAGAATTACTCCAGCTTGGAAAAAGCCTGTAAGACATCGAGGCCAAGCATTCCCCAGCACTGCCAAGCCCACCCTGCCCATGGCCCCACACAGCTACAACCCCACCCCTGCTTTCAACCCTTTCCATGAAGAAATTCATCCCAATGCCCAATCTAAGCCTCCCCTGGAGCAGCCTGAGCTGATTTCCTGAGCCAGGGGTTGCTATTCAGAGTCACCTACCTGTATGGGGCTCAATAGAAAAGTAAGGCTGTCCTTCCAGAATGCTATAAACCAGCTTGGCACTGTTTCCATACACTGGATCATCTGCATCTGTAGCTGTTACTTTAGTAACAAAGGTGCCTAAATAGAAAGAATACACACAATTAATGTTTACACTCACTAGGAATTTGCATATCTTATTCAAAAACTAATTTGAAACAAAAATTCATTTCTTTGTGAGCTGTATAACAATAACAAAAGAAGGAAAAATATCAGTAACAAGTTAAAATATTACTTGTGGAACAGAAACAAAACATTTTCCTTCAAGCTGCTTTGTGCCAGCAGCCTGAATTTCTGGGTAGAATAAAAGCCCTTTTAGTATCTGTATTATTTAAAGTTTCTTTGTAGAATGCATTTAAAGCTACCTGATACATCTGTGTAGACTTCAGCATTTGCAAAGGAAACATATCAAAGGGATACAAAACACAAGGTTAATAATACAGTATAATATGTTGCATTAAAGACTTGCAAACTCACATTTGAAAGAACTTTGCCAAGTTACAGAGACCAGATAGAAAAACAATAATAAAAAGGGTTCTTTTTTCTTCCCTTGGCTTGCAGCCATGATAATGATTTGATGTGGCCACAGTGACAGAGTTGGGACAACAGCAATTGTCTCTGAAATGAGTCTCTGCCACTCAGGGGGCCATTGTTCAGCCAGAGTTATAAATTCCATACTCTGACAGAAAATAAATAGAAAAAAAAAAAAAATAAGGAAATTACCCTTTTTATTTCTTAGACAACATAGCACTTGCCATTTCTGTAAGAAGCAAAATGGAATGAAATTCAGCTGTTTGCATTAAGGTTGCTGCAGAGAGGTTTTTTTGGCTGACATAAAAGTATGATGGCATTAATTAGGTTGACAATAGAGACAATATCTACAGAGGGAGAGAAAGCAAGAGAAGGAGAAAGGTTAAAGGCTGAATTACGTTCAGAAAGGAAAATAATTACAGCACCCACCAAAAACCCCCAGTTCTGGATATGTCAATAAAAACAGCCTCTGGTTCCTTCTCAGCCTTGGTGTGCTGTGAATCCTGATCCCTTCAGGACAGCAGAGCAAAGGGAAGGAGATCCCTTTGGCACAGCCTTGGTCCTTGCCCTGTGCTCCCTTTTTCTCTCTCCCTGCAGTTTTGTGGGTTACAGCACATGGGAATTATTTAGAGAAATGTTTGGATATCTAGATATAATTTTCATGTGACCCATTTCACTCTTTCCCACCTGGCCACTTCAAACAGCAGATGTGGGGCTAGGTTTTGGGAGAGCAGGATTTGGGAGGGTGGAGAACACCTCTCTTAGGGAGTACAAGCTCTGCAGAGACTGAAGTAGGTTTGCTATGTGGAACTGATGGGATAATTCCCAGTGAAGGGAATGTGGGTTGCAGAAATACATCTCACTGGAGAAAAAAATGGCTTTGGCTGGTATTGGCCATTTATCTTTTGTGTAAATTTACCCATTCTTACAGGAGAGAATATCAGCAAAGGGAGGCAGAGGAGAAGTGTCCCCTCAGCATCTCTCCTGGGCTCAGCAGGGGCCAGAGGAGTCCTGCAGCTGGTGCACATCCCGTGGAAAAGGAATATTATGTCACATCTCTTTCTGACAGATGCTTGCTGAGCCTGTTTTATAAATATGCAAACTGTTCATGTTTTGAAGCTTAACTGCATTTGATGTTGAAAGGTGATCTCATACCTAACCTTTAACAGAATCATTTCTAACCTGTCATGGGGCCTGAGAAATGGGCTTTATCCTCAACTTGGTGCTTAGTTTGTAAGGAATTAACATCAGAAATGTATTGTCTGCCCCATGACAACAACCAGACAGTGACAGACAACTCCTGGCTGCTCTGAGTGGAAATGATAAAGGGGACAGGTGACACACCTGGTGCCCAGCCCCATGGCAAGTTCAGCAGCTTCAGCCTACAGGTGACATCCTCCCCAGCCCAGCTGTACCTCCCCTCTCTGGAAATCCCAGCACATCCCTGAACATCCCAACACACCCCAGCACATCCCAGCACATCCCAGCACATCCCAGCACATCCCAGCACATCCCAGCACATCCCTGAACATCCCAGCACATCCCTGAACATCCCAGCACATCCCAGCACATCCCAGCACATCCCTGAACATCTCAGCACATCCCAGCACATCCCAGCACATCTCAGCACATCCCAGCACATCTCAGCACATCCCAGCACATCCCAGCACATCCCTGAACATCCCAGCACATCCCTGAACATCCCAGCACATCCCAGCACATCCCTGAACATCCCAGCACATCCCAGCACATCCCCATGTCCATCACCCTGTCCCAGGGCACCACCAGCCATGAATGCAGGCTCACAGCTTCCTTCAGCTGGATCCAGGCTGAAGGAGCAGCTGATGTGCTTGTTTCTGAGGCTGCTATCATAAAACTTGTGGTTTGTAATCTCCTAAATCAGAAGAGGTTTGTGAAGAACATCACACAATGGGACAGGGCTGGAAAAAGATAAGGCTCATCACAAAGTGGAAATTTTACTTGAGTATTTTATCTAGATGGCTTCATTTTGTTTCCATTATATACTTTATATAAAAAAAGGAAAATAAAAGAAATAAAACTGTTGACTTCTTGGAGATTGTGTTTGATTTTCCTAGCTGGCTCTCATTTCAAAGGCCTTCAGAAATAATTACATTGCTTGTTTAGAAAGATTTGATATATAATTTCTATTCTTATCTTACTTCACTTGAGAATTCCTGAAGACTTTCTATAGATATTTATTTCAAGATTCCCAGACTTGAATGGATATGCTGATTCTTTGATAAGCACATTCTTTATCCTAAGTGTTCATTAGACACTAAAGTTGAATACACCCTAATAAAAAGAGTTAATCAGTGTCTAACATTGCTTCCAATCCTGGTGCTCAGCTACCAAGATTTTCTTCTTGTGATATAAAATGATTCCATCACTTATTGAGACCCCAAGTTCAACTGAAGTATATAAATATATTAAAAATACATGGGTAATATGTGTGTCAGTATTTTCAGTTAAAATACACATAAGGCAGGGGGAAAGGCATGATGTTCTTCTTCTTTCCCTTACAGGTCACTTGAAGTGTGATTATCATCTCACCTAGTAAAATTAATGAAGGGAATGGACACCTGAAATACTCTCCTGCCTCCTAGAAATCAGTTTTTTCCCCATCCAGTCTCTGCCACTCAGCACTGCATTTCCAACCATCACACACCCTTCTGAGGCCTGTCAAATCCAGCCATTTGCTCCCAACAATCTTACTGATGAAAATTGTTTAGGGAAGATGTGAGTGATCATGAAACAGAAATTAAAGAAATTGCTTCCACTACTGAAATTAGTTAAGCTTTGGCATAGTTTAAATTTTATCACCTTTAATTTGATGGGGTTTTTTTTAATTTTTTTTTTCTTCATGCCTTGAGTCAAATTTTCTGCAGGTGTGAAACACGCTACATTATGTTATTCACACTGGCAATAATCAGGATATTTAGGAGCAAACCCTGCTCTCTCTGCAGCTGCAGGTGATGCTGCTAAATCAGTGATGTCCTGGTTCCCCTGCGATGTGCTGAGAGCTCCCATGGAGCAGCCAATCCCCTGCCCACAGCTGACCACAGATTTGGAGAAATGATTGATTCCTGATGGTGAAAAACAATGTAAGGAAAAAAGGAACTCACAGTCACCATGGCTGTTTTTAGCCAACCTCCACACCATAACTCTCCAAGCTTTGGATTATCAATATTTAAGCAGGGTTTTACTCCATTACTGATGGAGTTATAAACTACATGCACATAAGTATTTTTTACAAGCACAATGAGCTTCAAGTTTTAAAGATAAAAAGTTTGCATTGAAAAGGCTGTAAGAATGCAGGGAAAGGCATTTGTTGAGTAAATGCTCTTGGAAAAACAACATTCTGGGTTCTGCTCAGCAAATCAACTGCTAAGGTTTCTGTTTGTGTTTAATTTTGACTGCATTTGGCTTGTGTTTGTTTCTTTGTCAAGGCTACAACAAACTCATTTAGCCAGAGACTATAAATTTGAAATGGTGCCATTTTTATAAGCAAGCCACTATTGTAGTCCAAGTCACTGTTGTCCTAATTACAATAATATTGCTGTTTTATATAATCTGGCCCAACAACATAATCACAGTTTCTTTTTTCTTTATGTACCTAACGTTGCCTTATTTAAACCAAATCCTTTTTTTTCTTTTTGAGACATGAAGCAAATTTTAAGACGCTCTGTTGAAAAACTTTGTGTGTTTTTTCCTCAGGTAAAATTTTGCAATGCTAATGACCCTTAAATATGGATTTAACCACCATAAATATAGACTGCACAGAGATTCAACAGATTTTAATTAATGAACACTTCTAATGTGCTTTAACCATTAGCCATTGCTGATTGTTTTACTCTGTCAGTGTCAGATTGTTTTACTCTGTCTTTACAACAGGCCAACAATCAGAGACACAATTAACAACAGAACTATTTTTATATGGCTAGGTGAGAAAACCTGTGTTTGCTGGCAAAGTAAGATTAAAAACCATCATGAAAAATAAGATGTGTGCGCTCAGCTAGTGCTTTTCTGTTGTTTTGGCTGTGTTTTTATGTGCAAGTCAGGGTACAGATTCTGCACATTAGTCAGAAAGAAAAATGCATATGCCGCCACAGGGAGAAAGCAAATTCTTTTGGTGTGGCAATGAAATGTGAGTATTGGGGGGGAAAAAAATTCCAAAAAATCAAATTTGAATGTTCTAGAGGAGGTAATGCATAGTTGGTGCCAAGAATTTACATGAATCCATATTCAGTGAACAACCATTTTGTAATGGCTGGCAAAAATAAATAACGTGACCGTAATGAAACCTGGTGGGACCATGTTTTCTCATCTTCTCAGGGACTTCTGGGGCATTTGCTTTTTATTATTATTTTTGGTTTTTTGGGTTTTTTTTTCTTTTCTGATGCCCTTTTTGGTCTCACTCACTCTTCCTCTCCTAATCTTCCCAAATCTTCACAGGCTGAACTCATAATTTCATTCTGAAGATCTGATTACCAACCTGATGGGGCATTAGCAGAGCATTTGCATGACAAAGC